AGAGTTGTTCAAGGAAATTTCTCCCTCTCCCTGCCCTGCCACCCCTTCCCCACTGCTTCAGTTCTCAGGATCATCATAGAGATTGTACTCTGCCAGTAATCCAGATGTAAGGGAGGTCTCTGGGCAATTGGATCAGGGCTTGGGTTAAGCTTTTGTCTCAGGGAGATTCTGACTCAGGCAGTACATGCATGGTCACTGATGAGCAGGAAGGGCTCTCTTGGAGTGCCTGGGTGACTCAGTAGGTTGAGTGTCTAACTTCTGCTCAGGTCATGATCTCACAGTTCGGTTTCTGTGTTCAAGCCCCATGTCTGACTATGTGCTGAGAGCCTGGAGCCTGGAGCCTACTTTGGATTCTGTGTCTCCCTCCCTCTCTGCCCTTCCCCCACTCATTCTTTCTTTCTCTCTCTCTCTCTCTCTCTCTCTCTCAAAAACAAATAAACATTAAAAAATTAAAAGAAAATTAGAATGATGATGCTCTCATTTATACTTGTGGATGCTTCAGGAAAGAGAAGTTGGCCCTGGTGTTAGGGAAGCTCTTTTGTTCAGGATTCTCTCTTGTTCATGTAATCTGAGGTTCTGCCCTTCACCTATACTTAAAGTGTAACCATGAGTTCAAATTTCTAATTCTCAAGGCAACTAATATAGTTTGCTTTGAAATCTCATGGGTCCTTATTACTGGAGCCTGTGGTGGAATTTTAGCCATCAATAATAGTGGATGTGATAATGGTGAGAAATATTTTCTGAAGGGGAAAGGTGTGTTTTTGCTGTTCTCACTTTCATACCTGGGATTTATGTTGTAATTATCTAGGATAAATAGAATTTATAAATAGGATTAGCTCTGAAAAAACTTCTAGGGTAAAATACCATTTTCTTTTCTAAACCTAAACTTTACTCTGCCCCTTTATGTGGTAGATATTTAAGAAATATTTATTGAATGTTGGCCAAAAACATAGATTACAAATTGGAGAGGTACAATAGGTATCACTGAATGTTTTCTGGATTCAGGGTCAGGCTGGTCAGTTCTACTTTCTACAATTAGCTGATAGTGATTCCAGCCGGTATTACTACAACTTACTATTCAAGTTATATTTACCTTGACTAGAGAAATTTGTAATTTTAAACCAAGGAAAGGGAACCAGTGAATTTAATTTAACACCTGGAAGACTTGGAGTGCTAAAGAAAAACTATATTCCAAATTAGAATATTGTTAAGAGAAACCTGAAGAAATATGGTGAACCCAAAAAGTATCTCTAATGGCAACAAGAATGATTTTCAGACTGAAAAGGAAAGACTACATATGTCTTAGGCACACATAAAACCCCACAGATGGGAACTAGAAGGAAATATCTATATGCTCTAAGTTCCTATCTCCTGGTTTAGATAAACTGTATCTCAAACAAACCAAATTTCTACTTCTATTGTAAATGATGGGCGAGAAGAGATTTGCCAGAAAAAGAAACGAGCCATATGTTCTATTTATCACAAAAAAGAGGAAGGTAAATTCTGAAAATGATTGCCTATATTCTTAGTTTGTGATTGTTTACAGAAGCAGTTATGACTGAAAGTCAGACATTTTTTTCAATCAACAGATGTCTGTTGGATTGCCTTCCAAATTCTAGCTTTTGTGATTTTTTTTTGCTATATCATGAATAAAGAGAGATATGTGAAGTGTAATGACCTCTCCAAACTCAGATTTGTTCTGAGTGCCCAATCTAAAGCATCCTGCATGTTACTTTCTGTGCCATTATCCTATTTTAATTTTCTGTGTTATTACTTATCTCGCTAGGATATTTCTTTTGCTTTCTTGTTTCTTGGCTTATGGTTTGTCTCTTTGGGTGTAAGCTCAGTGTTAAGCTCTAGAGAGCAAAGGCTTTGGATGTTTTGTTCACTGCTGAATCTGTAGTACTTAGAGCAATATAAGTCACAAAGTAGATAATCATTAATATTTTGTTGAATGAATCCATTAGTTGAACTGCCATATCCAAATAGATTTACAGGATAGATTGATGTCCACCAGGTTGGTAGAACCCAGGAGGCAAGAGGTCCTGATCCTTGGTATATGACTTGAATGAATAAAAATGACATGCCTAACAAAATGGTTGATGAAATAATTATAAAAATTTTTATCTTCATAGTTTACAATAACAAACCAAAACTGATCAGATGAAATGGGATAGAGATAATGCCTGAAGTACTATTTTGGGATCTAGAGAAGAATAACATAACTGCAGGATGGAGTTTAATTTCAACAAATGTTAAACAAAAAAGATGAAAGGATTAAGGATTTTAGTGGTAGCATACTCAGTGTGATCCAACAATATGAAATGACTCCAACTTCACTCTCCTGTATGTATATTCTTCACTTATGACAAAAGCAAGGAGACAGTTCCAGTTACTATCATCTTCATTGTATTAACTGAGTTTATTATCAATAGATGTCACGGAGGTGATGATTATATTCTATTTTGTGTTAAAAATACATCTCGCTAAGTGCACACATTTTCAAAATGTAAAGGAATGTTGACAGAAGAAAGTGATGAGGATAGTGAAATCTTCAACTGAGGATCAGTGAGGATGGGTTGGAGGAAACAGCATTACCACTCTCATGCAGAAGGGAGCTCTTCACATATGTCATCATTCTAAGGTGGGGAGAAAGGACCAATGGAGTAAGGTAGCAGGAAGTACATCTGGCTCAGCATAAGGGAGAATTTTGTACCAATTCCAACAATGAGGCCTAAACATGTTGTCTTGGGAGATAGACAAGTGTTCATGTGGTAGCTGAACAGAGGATTGATCAAAGAGATACATGTCTTAGATGAGGGTGTTAAGCCAGATGGCCCTCAGGATCACATCTAATTCTAAGATTCGGTGGCATTATGTGTGTGATAACAATATATCTCTTTGTAAAGGCTTGTCCAACTATATACTTTAGGGCATTTGGGGATAGAAGAACAAACATTGTAAATTATTGTGTGTCCTGCAATGAGAGGCAAGGGCATATGGTAGATAATTGCACAATTGTTGACTAGTGTGCCTGCATCCAAATCCCAGCTATGACTTACTACCTAGTGACCTTAAATAAGTTACTTAACATCTGTGTACTTTAGTTTCCATATATAAACTGGATATAATATAATCTACCTAATAGCTTGGTTGTGATAATTAAAAGAGATAATACACATAAAGCTTTTAGAATGGTACCTGGCTCATAGTGATTATTAGCTATTATTATTATTATTATTATTATTATTATTACAACTATTATTAGAGTTAAGTATTCATAAAACCATCATGGAGTATTAATGATATAATGTTATGTATACTTGTCTGCTTAGGTATACTTTGAGAGAAAATGTTATCTTCTAGAGGAAGCAAATATATCTTCTAAAGGAGGCAAAAAGGCCTGAGTTCCATACCTGTTTCTGTTCTTTATGGACTATCTTAGGCAAGTCACTTAGCCACACTATGCCTCCTTTCCCTAATGGTTCTGTAGTTATAGGGCTTCTGTAAAAGTAAATGTAAAATTAATTTGCCTAGTAATAAGTGCCAGCTGTTATTCTGCACAAAGAGATGGCATTTCATTTTCAGTTCTTATCCAAAATATGTCCTATGTAGATTATAGCAGTGCAAGGTCAGTATAGAGACCGGGGCTTGAAGGGCCCTGAGACTTTTTTCCTCCAAGTCTGGCATTTTGATTTTTCTCTACTTCACCCTCTTTATAAGGAAAATGAATGTGCCAGCCTCTTACCTTCCTCACACTATTTTAATGGAAGATTACTTCAATTGTATCTATAAAACTCACAGGTTTTATTTTATTTGACTATCATGTTTTCTTCTGTAGATCCTGTGGTCTGCTTTCCAGGGGACTAAGACAGCTTAGAGCTGCGTGCCAATTTCTAGCTGGGTCTGAGCCCTCTGGGGAAGCTGCCTGAGACAGGGGCTTTTGAAGTGATAGGAGCCTTGAACTTAGTTAAGCAGCTTGGCACCCAGAGCAATATCAAAACTGGGCTTTTGATTATGCATAGTATCCTGATGCATACAACTTCCTCATGCTCTACCCTCTCTCTCAAATACTCCCAAACTATATTACTCTGAGTTTTATTAAAAGCTCAGCATGTTTTAGCATTTTATTCATTAATATAATTGTATTAGAAAGAGCAGGAGATGATGAAGTTTAAAAAGGTGAATTTATGGGGCACCTGAATGGCTCAGTTGGTTGAGCGTCCGACTTCAGCTCAGGTCATGATCTCACAGTTTGTGGGTTCGAGCCCCGCGTTGGGCTCTGTGCTGATGGCTCGGGGCCTGGAGCCTGCTTCGGATTCTGTGTTTCCCTCTCTCTCTGCTCCTTCCCTGCTCACACTGTTTCTCTCTCAAAAATTAAAAAAAGATTAAAAATTTTTTTTTAATAAAAAAAAATAAAAAGGTAAATTTATGATCAGAAGTTTGGCCTTCTAGCTTTTTCATTATGGAATTAAATTGCTGATATTACCTCTATTTACAATATGCTACTTAATAAACACTGATGGTAAATTTTATGTCTTCTGACCCTTGTTTTTATGAATGATGCAAGAGAATGTATCAAGAGTTCGATTAAATTTGTTGGAAGAATGTTTGTTAATTATGGCACTATAAAAAAGAACCAATTTCCTTTGAGGATCAAGGGAAAAAAGCCCACTCACATTTATAGACTATGAGGGGCACACTGCTCATGAGATATTTATATATAACTTTGCAGAAATGGATGTTTTTAAGTTCTGAAACTGTATAGCACATAATTGCCTATAATCCCTAGGCTGATATTTTACCGTGATGTTTCTTTTTTTCTCATTCTAATAAAATATTAACATGGTAAGCTAATTTGTTTTCTGTCAAAAACAAGTTGTAATAACTGTTTTCTTCATTTGATAACCTGTCATTTAACTTGGTAGCACTAGTCTAAAATTATGTTCTATTCTTCCCTCTTTTCATCTCCACTCTTGCTTTCTGGTTACTCATTCTAGCAATACAAGACCAAGTCAAGCTACAAGGCTTTTGCAGCAATCCCTACAAACACATTGCTTTTGGAACAGAAGGTCAGTGTTGGTTCAAAAGCAGAGGGAATTTTATGTTTCTAGTGTCAGTTTTGTTATATGTTCTAAAAATGTCTGTTTTAAAGTTCTGCTTTTACTAAAATTTGCTCTTAGTTTAGGGTGACATGATGAAAGCATCTTGGTGAATAGAATTTGACACATCATTGCTTTATCACCAGCCGCTAAATATGAGCCTAGAATTTATCACCAGAGGCTAAATATGAGCCCAGAATTGTCCAGTTCATTGTAAAGCAGTCATGAAAACCTGATGCAGATTTTGATACATCCCTGTCCTTTGGAATTTTAAGTGATTGTTGTATTTAAGAGCTTCCACCTCTTTTCACATTGATCAAAAGAGTGGAGGTGAAATGGGGTTACATGTGGGCGACTTGGTCAAGACTTGGTCACTAGTAGTGGCTTCCATAGGGTGGAAATGTATTAGCTGAGTATCCAACGTAACGGCTTTGATCCTGGCATGGGCTAAACCTCTTTGTCTATTCTCACCAGCCATTGGTCCTCCTTCCATGAACGGGAGGGAGGATTGAGATCACTTCTAGTGACCCAGCTGCTTTCACATGCCTTTAGGGCATTTTTGCTTTGCTATTAAAAGTCACTAATTATAAAATTACAAGCTCCTGCTTCAGTAGGTAAATTAAATTAAAGCCTCTTGTTTAATAAGCACATTACATATGCTCAAATGAAAGCCACATGGAGGATTATATCAGAATGGAAGTGAAATCAATTACCAAGTGTATGAAATTATTCATTCCATGTTATTTTTATGATATTTATTTAAGCAATTTACCTCTCAGTGCATTAAGCCTATTTTCTTCGGTGTAATTATAGTATTTCAAATACTGTTATTATCATTTGTCAAAATGTTAATGCCTGCCAACCAGGTGGTATTTTGACCACTGATTTATGAATATACTTTCTTGTTATGTCAGTATGATCTGGGAAATAAAATCTTTGCATGATCTCTTGTCTAAAATGTAGTAACTGTTAGTGGGAGATGCTTTGTAGCGTATAGGTGGGCATTGGTGGGCAGCACCTCTGCTGTCATATATCTCTGAGAGCTAATTCCCAATTATCCACGTGTGGCCCAGAGTCTATGCTCTATATGTCTGAATGCTTTCAACTAGGGGGTTGAGGAGTTGCTGGGCTGCAGAGAGATCTGCAACGTTTTCTCCAGCTTCTCTTCTGAATCTCTACCTTTCTTAGCTCATGAAAAGATGAGATGGGCCTAAAACAGTGACTTTAGGAGGCTCAGGAGGATGCAGGAGGTGATACTTTTGCCAGTTGTCCCTTATCCTATTGTCTTGGGTTGTCACGTTGAGTCATAGCGGCAATATTTTCTCACCGCAGACCCTCTGCCCATTTTAGATGGACAGTTTCTGAAATCTGGTCACAGTGTCTCCCTCCACAGAAATGGGAGAAACTCTCCTCCCAGCAGCTGGCCAGGCAAAGAGAATAGACACCTGTCGGTGTCCCTCCATCATACTTGTCTTACCTACCCTAGCACATTCTCCCGTACCTGTGTGCTACCACTGTATCCATTTTCTGTTTAGAGAAATAACAGTTACTTCTTCTTGGAAGACTTTTGTAAGATAAGGCTGGATATCATTATTGGTTCCAGAATCTCTGTCTACCAGCTCTCTTTTCTTCCAATTAAATGGATTTTAGAGGTTATAACCTATTAGTTGGTCATTAAAAATGAAAAACCATTAGTTTAACTTCCAATTGCATCACAAACCCATTCCATAAATGTGTACTGTGGCATCACTTTGTATTGAGCCTGATGCAGTTTCATATAGGAGAGGTTTTGTGTTTTATTTATGTATGTATTTATGTTTAAGGATATTGTCTACATAATTTATTCTTTTTAATGAAACAGAACTGCAATACCATTTTAAAATAGAAGTCTATGTTTCATAATATTTTTCTTAATTTATTTTTAAGTCAAAATTTATTTATTTATTTAATTTTTTAATTTTATAGTTTATTGTCAAATTGGCTAATATACAGTGTGTAAAGTGTGCTCCTGGTTTTGGGGGTAGATTCCTGGGGTTCATCACTTACATACAACACCCAGTGCTCATCCTAACAAGTGCCCTCCTCAAGGTCCATCACCCGTTTTTCCCTCTCCCCCACCCTCACTCCCCAAAAGACCTACTCTTTTAGGAAGCATATTTTTATTTTTTATTTTTTAGCACAACAGAATATAAATGTCATGATGTCTAATTAAAAATAGTGTTTTTCTAGGGAGAATTGAAACACTAGTGTAGAAACACTAGTGTGGGTAATTGTCTTTTGGCTAAGATAAGTTGGTTTTGGACCATAAATACTTGAATTGTTCAAAGGTCATGAAACTTGGCATATGTCTGTTTTTTCTTTAGAGCCTTTGTATAATTTAATTTATTTATTGTTGGCTTTTCCATGACGTGTGTTCCTTAATGAGGAATTTTAATTTGTAAGAATTTTTAAATAACAAAAGTCTTATCTTTATATTTTATCAGCATTTATTTCCATTTTCACTAATATTTCTTGAATGATATTATGGTGCTCCTTTCATGTTCTGTAGCTTTAAGAAAAAAAAAATCTGGGGTCACCTGGGTGGCTTAGTCGGTTAAGCATCCAGCTTCAGCCTAAGTCATGATCTCCTTTTGAGTTCCAGCTCCACATCCGGTTCTGTGCTGACCGCTCAGAACCTGGAGCCTGTTTGAGAGTCTGTGTCTCCCTTTCTCTCTCTGCCCCTCCCCCACTCACACTCTGTCTCTCTCAAAAATACACATTAAAAAAATTAAAAAAAAATAAATAAATCTGATAATGTAGGTCTTTTTATCCATCTGTTTATATAATAGAACTCTTTCTGTGCAGTTAAAATCAAAGGGACTTATTTCTGAATTGAGTAGGAAAATTAAGACTATACTTAGCAGAAACTCATCTATTTTGGGAAGGATTAACACTTTGGAATATTTTCTGAGATCCCTTTACTATCACACAGAGTACCACAAAAGGAAGGGTGCTGCAGTCCCATTATAGTATTCTGTTAGGATTTACGCGGTGGAATGCCTTAAAGATAGAGCCAATGTATTTAATTCAGTTTAACAATTATTCTCTCCCCTAACCAGATTAAACTCATGGTTAATATTTTATACCACATTTTGTTTCATAGTATATGGTATAATTAATGAGGAATCAGGATCACTTTAAAAAATAATGCTATCTTTTTAAAACGCAAGGTTTTCTCCACATTGAAATACAGGCATCCCTTTCAATCAGATATTAAATTCTCATGGAATCACTGGATTGGTTTCAGCTTTAATCACTCCTAGACGAAACCCATAATTTTCAAAAGAGTACATTTTGTTGGCAGCGGACCTGAGGTTTCTGGTATTTCTGTTTTGTAATTTATTGTCTGCATCAAAACTTAAATTTATAGCTTATTCTGTATTCTATCATTTTTCTCCTCGTGAACATTTAGGAAGAAAGCATTTTTAGCTTAACTAAGGCTTTATAAGAAGAGATAAATGTAAGACATATTTTAACGTGTTAGCTTCAGGGTCTCTGGCTTCATCTCCTGCCAATAATCATCTCCTCTAAGACTGAGATAAGGATGAAATACAAGTGATTACAAAGCAGGAACAAAGTAATCAGATCAGCTTACATTTGTGACTGTCCATGAACCTTATTATGATATATTCAACAATATAATAGAGGAAACAACTTTATACATTACTATTTCGTCTTGTTATGTGTACTATTGTTCTGTTCAGAGAGTGTCAAAGGTCTTTCTCTTATTGACTAATTTTTCTTCTCATCTGAGCCTGATAGCAATAGGTAAAAAGTTAAAATTAAACTGAAGGACTCATGTTAGTATTCTAATTAATGGCTTTTTATTTTTATTCTGAAAATATATTAAGAAAAGGAAAGATGAAGAAAGGAGTATTTCCACAAAATAAAATAGTATGCATCTTTATTGTTTCACAAGTGATTAATATTTTTCCAGGAAAGCACTTTTTTTTTTTTTTTTTTTTTTTTTTTTTTTTTTTTTTTAGAGCAGTTGAAGTTCATTCCTTTCTGCACAAGTATTCCTCAGGATAAAATCAAGGTTAGAGTTAGGTACAATTTTCCAACAAATAGCATTACTATCTGCCAATTTCAAGACACATTTAATTCATAAGCTGTGTGAGTTTGAAAGAAGAATGATAGGGTAGCTCAATTTTATAAATAGCACATATAAATTGTAGGGTTAATTATTTAAATAAAAGTTAAGGTATAAAAATAATTTTATTTTTCCTGGTAGAAGGAAGTTAAAGAGAGCCATTTTGAAGACGATTGTAAAAACTGTGCTATAAAAATGGAAAGGTAAAGATTTGAGATGTCTTGTCAGTTTTCAAACCAATTTATTCTAAATTGCCAGCTTAAATTTTTTAAACATGAGTTGGTAAACTTTAATCTGATTAAGCATACATCTTTGGGTGAGAATATTTTAAGGTCTCTGAATGTCTCAAAAATTTAACAAAATCTGGTTGCTAGCTTAGCATATGGCCTATACTAGAGAGACATCTCTTACTTGATGGAAAAGTGCCCAGGACCCACAACTATTCCAGTTGGTTCTCCTCAGGCAGTTGTATACCATGCACATATCTCTTTTAAAGCACTTGCCAAACCATAATTATGCATGTTGGTGGTTTTTTTTCCCCCACTACGAACTATTTGAGAAAATATAGTAGTTTTTTGTTAAATGTTCATTGAATGAATTACTTTGGTTTGCAACTGGGTAGGTCTCTAAAATTTCCAATTTTATTTCATAGGATTATAAGGCAAATTTTTGCTCAGAGGATTATAAAAATCAAGGAGCTTAGTATTTGATAACTGAGACAATGATAATTAAAAATCTTTCTTTAGGGTGGAAGAAGCTTCATAAATTCTACTTCCATGGAAAAACTATAAAGAACCTTTTTCTATAAGGGAATTGAGTTGATTTTAGATTTGATAAC